GGGAAGGAGTTAGTTTCTTCTGATAATGGAGCAATAAATTCTCTTTCTCGGAAAGATTTTGGCGTCCCGTGGCTGCTATCCGGTGAGAGAACCTCATTCCTCTCTTTAAAAAAGTATCTTACCTAGCACAGTTTCTGTTTTAACGTTATGTTACAGCCTAAAACTATAATGCATTGTACACTTTGCTGAGCATCTTAATACAGTAGAACCAATCTATACCTTAACTTTTATCCGTGGCCTATCACAACTACTATAATTACCACGTTCATGTTACTGTTCTCCAATCACTAAAAGTCAGTACATTACAGTTGAAGCTAGAAGTTGTTTTTCAGTTTTCTTGCAGTGGAAAATTCGGAGACCTTTTTTTCTGCTTGCAGCATCTGCTGACTTGTTTGCCTGGGCTATCTTTCTGCTTGGTAAAAAGCATTTTCTTGTTTGAGGTGGGTTTATCCTTTGCTCTAAGTCATCAAAACCCCCTTCTAACTAACATACCCTTTGCCTCCTTGGTTATCCAGTGAGACTGGCTCAGCAATTCTTTTCTTCTATATCAAAATTTGCTTCCATCTCTATTCCTTCCTCAGCTTCTACATTCAAAAATCTGTCTGCTAAGCGTACATATTTGTGAGACTTTCTTGTCAAACTTTCATCCTTCCCATCACAGGGGAGGGCACAGTCTTTAACAAAACAGGAGAGTTGGGAGTAAAAAAAAAAACGAGGCGGGAACCACAGTGTATGAACCAATAAAATTCTGAGGGAGAAAAACAGTTTCAGCAAAAAGTTTGGAGAAATAGAAACTAGCAACTAACTGACGAAAAAGACGACATAAATGCTGGGAAAAGGCGGGGAGAAAAAAAAAAAATTAAAAAAAAGGGCACCAAAAACTACCAAATTACAAATCAAACAATAAACCCCCCCGCCCCATAATTTGGGGGGGTCCCTGCACATTGCAGGCCAGGTACAAATGCTGAACGGGACGGGGTTGCTGCAGGATGCGTCTCAAGCTGTTTATTTTTCAAGCCTCTGGGGCTGTTTGTATTTCAGCACCAACGGGAAGATGCCAGCGGCTCGCATCCCAGGCAGCAGCCACGGAACTCGGCGTCACAACTCACTTTGAAAGTTCTTTGGCTAGTCACACAAAGCAAAAGAATACAGACAGTGGGTTCATCTAACCGCTACAAGCGCGTGTACCTTCACTTAAGAACGACGCTTGCTTGCTTGGAATGCAATACCGGGGGAGGGGGTGCCTGCTGGGCTGGGGGTGGTGCGCTCTACAGCTTCTCGGACCACATGGGGGGCCAGTCCCGGAGACCCTACGGCTGCCACGCCACGTGCCCCTGGGACAGGAAGGTGCTGGTGGCCGTGCTCAGCGGCCTCAATTTGGTGGCGTTCGGGGTGGATTTGGGGCAGACGGGAAGGTTGGTGCTGTTGAGGGCCTGAGGGGGCACTCCAGGGTGAGTGGAGGGGGGCGATCCTGGGGGGAAGCAGAGCCTTAAAGGGAGTCTGGGGTCTCCCACAGGTCGGGATCAGGGCCTTTGTGGGGGTCTGGGTTGATTCCTGGGGTGGGATCAGGCTCCCAAAGGGGTCTTGGATCCGCCATGGGGCAGGATTGGGATCCTAAGAGGGGTCTGGTGTCTCCTTCTGGCAGGTATTTGGATCCTAGTGGGGTTCTGGGTGGCCCCCTGAGGGGGTATGGGACCCTGAGTGGGGTCTGGTGTCCCCTCGTAGGGTGGGATCAGGCTCCAAACTGGAACCTTGGACCCTCTATAGGGCAGGATTGAGCCCCTAGTGGGGGTCTGGGGGGGCCAGGGCCAGGGTGGGATCCAGCCTCTCTGGGGGTCTGGGGTCCGGCTCCTAATGGGAGTCCTGGACCCTCTGTAGGGCAGGATTGAGCCTCTAATGGGGGTCTGGGGTCACCCCAGGGTGGGATCCAGCCCCTAATGGGGGTCTGGGGTCCTCTCCTGGGGTGGGATCAGGCTCCTAATAGGAGTCCTGTACCCTCTATAGGGCAGAATTGAGCCCCTAATGGGGGTCTGGGGGTCACCCCAGGGTGGAATCCAGCCTCTCTGGGGGTCCGGGGTCCTCTCCTGGGGTGGGGTCAGGCTCCTAATGAGACTCCTGGACCCTCTGTAGGGCAGGGTTGAGCCCCTAATGGGGGTCTGGGGTCACCTCAAGGTGGGATCCAGCCCCTAATGGGGGTCTGGGGTCCTCTCCTGGGGTGGGATCAGGCTCCTAATGAGACTCCTGGACCCTCTGTAGGGCAGGGTTGAGCCCCTAATGGGGGTCTGGGGTCACCTCAAGGTGGGATCCAGCCCCTAATGGGGGTCTGGGGTCCTCTCCTGGGGTGGGATCAGGCTCCTAATGAGACTCCTGGACCCTGTGTAGGGCAGGATTGAGCCCCTAACAGGGGTCTGGGGTCACCCCGGGGTGGGATCGGGGTGCTATGGATGTCTGGGGTCTCCCCTTGGGTGGGAAATGTGAGGGGAAAAACGGGGAAATGTGAGGGGAGAAAATGTCAGGAAACGTGAGGGGGAAAAGGGGAAGAAATATGAGGGGGAAAGGGTGCTAAACGTGAGGGGAATAAAGGGAAATGTGAGGGAGAAAAGGGTGGGAAATGTGAGGGGAAAAACGGGGAAATGTGAGGGGAGAAAATGTCAGGAAACGTGAGGGGGAAAAGGGGAAGAAATATGAGGGGGAAAGGGTGCTAAACGTGAGGGGAATAAAGGGAAATGTGAGGGAGAAAAGGGTGGGAAATGTGAGGGGAAAAACGGGGAAATGTGAGGGGAGAAAATGTCAGGAAACGTGAGGGGGAAAAGGGGAAGAAATATGAGGGGGAAAGGGTGCTAAACGTGAGGGGAATAAAGGGAAATGTGAGGGAGAAAAGGGTGGGAAATGTGAGGGGAAAAACGGGGAAATGTGAGGGGAGAAAATGTCAGGAAACGTGAGGGGGAAAAGGGGAAGAAATATGAGGGGGAAAGGGTGCTAAACGTGAGGGGAATAAAGGGAAATGTGAGGGAGAAAAGGGTGGGAAATGTGAGGGGAAAAACGGGGAAATGTGAGGGGAGAAAATGTCAGGAAACGTGAGGGGGAAAAGGGGAAGAAATATGAGGGGGAAAGGGTGCTAAACGTGAGGGGAATAAAGGGAAATGTGAGGGAGAAAAGGGTGGGAAATGTGAGGGGAAAAACGGGGAAATGTGAGGGGAGAAAATGTCAGGAAACGTGAGGGGGAAAAGGGGAAGAAATATGAGGGGGAAAGGGTGCTAAACGTGAGGGGAATAAAGGGAAATGTGAGGGAGAAAAGGGTGGGAAATGTGAGGGGAAAAACGGGGAAATGTGAGGGGAGAAAATGTCAGGAAACGTGAGGGGGAAAAGGGGAAGAAATATGAGGGGGAAAGGGTGCTAAACGTGAGGGGAATAAAGGGAAATGTGAGGGAGAAAAGGGTGGGAAATGTGAGGGGAAAAACGGGGAAATGTGAGGGGAGAAAATGTCAGGAAACGTGAGGGGGAAAAGGGGAAGAAATATGAGGGGGAAAGGGTGCTAAACGTGAGGGGAATAAAGGGAAATGTGAGGGAGAAAAGGGTGGGAAATGTGAGGGGAAAAACGGGGAAATGTGAGGGGAGAAAATGTCAGGAAACGTGAGGGGGAAAAGGGGAAGAAATATGAGGGGGAAAGGGTGCTAAACGTGAGGGGAATAAAGGGAAATGTGAGGGAGAAAAGGGTGGGAAATGTGAGGGGAAAAACGGGGAAATGTGAGGGGAGAAAATGTCAGGAAACGTGAGGGGGAAAAGGGGAAGAAATATGAGGGGGAAAGGGTGCTAAACGTGAGGGGAATAAAGGGAAATGTGAGGGAGAAAAGGGTGGGAAATGTGAGGGGAAAAACGGGGAAATGTGAGGGGAGAAAATGTCAGGAAACGTGAGGGGGAAAAGGGGAAGAAATATGAGGGGGAAAGGGTGCTAAACGTGAGGGGAATAAAGGGAAATGTGAGGGAGAAAAGGGTGGGAAATGTGAGGGGAAAAACGGGGAAATGTGAGGGGAGAAAATGTCAGGAAACGTGAGGGGGAAAAGGGGAAGAAATATGAGGGGGAAAGGGTGCTAAACGTGAGGGGAATAAAGGGAAATGTGAGGGAGAAAAGGGTGGGAAATGTGAGGGGAAAAACGGGGAAATGTGAGGGGAGAAAATGTCAGGAAACGTGAGGGGGAAAAGGGGAAGAAATATGAGGGGGAAAGGGTGCTAAACGTGAGGGGAATAAAGGGAAATGTGAGGGAGAAAAGGGTGGGAAATGTGAGGGGAAAAAGGGAAATGTAAGTGAGAAAAGGGGGGAAATGTGAGGGGAAAAAGAATTGGAAAACGTGAGGGGAAAAAAGGGGGGGAAACGTGAGGGGACATAAAGGGGGAGAAACATGAGGGGAGAAAAGGCAAGAACCAAGAGCGGCGAAAAAAAGCCAGGAAACACCCAGGGAAAAGAGAAGAAAACATGGAAGTGGAAAAGGTAGGAGATGTGCCCCCCAATTCCTCAGGTGCCCCCTCCCCAAAACGAAGCGCGGACTCTGGGGGATTGCTCAGATTCTTTATTTTTGGGGGGCTCAGCGGGCCTTCGTCACCCACACACTCTTCTTCCTCACCACCACGGCTCTGCAGGATGGCGCCGGCCTGGTGGTGGCAAAGATGGGGCTCAGCACCCCAAAATAAGGGGGAACCCCTCAAATGTGACCTCAAAATCCATCCCACCAATTAAACCACCCCTAATTAAAGACCTCCTAATTAAACCTAAAGATCCCCCAAATACAGCCTCAAGGATCACCAGTTAACTCCCTCAATTAAAGACCCCCCCTAATTAAACATCTCCATTTAATGTCCCCAATTAAAGCCCCCCCAATTAAAGCCCCCCAATTAAACCCTTCAATTAAAACACCCCAATTAAAACACCCCAATTAAATCCAAATAAAAACATATTTAACCCCGCCAAGACCCCCCAATTAATCCTCCCAACCAAACCCCTCCCAATTAAAGACACCCCAATTAAACTTCCCAATCAAACCCCCCAATTAAAGCTGCTCTAATTAATTACCCCCCCCTCAAATTAAGCCCCCCCCCTCACCATTTTTTGTCACCATCACTGAGGCACTGTGGAGGGAGAGACAAATGTTGAGGGGGCTTCAGTTTCCCCCCCAAACCCACAAAGCCCCCACCCCAGTATCAGGAACCCCTCCCAAGGTACCCCAAAAAATTTTGGGGACCCCCCACAAATCTTGAGGAGCTCCCCCAAAATTTGGGGTGCCCCTTCTTCCCTTGGCTGTTCCTTCACCCAGCACCTCCCCCAGGTGGTCATGACCTCCCCACAGATTTTGGGGATCCCCCCCGATTTTGGGGACCCCCTTCACCCCAAAATCGGCCAGGACCTCCCCCAGATTTTGGGGATCCCCCCGATTTTGAGGATCTCCTCACCCTGAAATCAGTCTCAGGTACCACAACCCTCACCCAGGCATTCACCTCCCCCAAAATTTTGGGGACCCCTCCCGATTTTGGGACCCGCCTGATTTTGGGGACCCCCTTACCCCAAAATCGATCAGGACCTCTCCCAGATTTTGGGGATCCCCCCGATTTTGGGGATCCCCTCACCCCAAAATCAGTCTCAGGTACCACAACCCTCCCCCAGGCATTCACCTCCCCCAAAATTTTGGGGACCCCTCCCGATTTTGGGACCCGCCTGATTTTGGGGACCCCCTTACCCCAAAATCGACCAGGACCTCCCCCAGATTTTGGGGATCCCCCCGATTTTGGGGTCCCCCTCACCCCAAAATCACTCTCAGGTCCCACAACCCTCACCCAGGTATTCACCTCTACCAAAATTTTGGGGATCCCTCCCCGATTTTGGGGCTTCCCCCGATTTTGGGGAGCCCCTCACCCCAGGACCTCCCCCAGATTTTGGGGATCCCCCCCGATTTTGGGGACCCCTTCACCCCAAAATAAGTCAGGACCTCCCCCAGATTTTGGGGAT